GAGAGCAGTCAAATCTACCAGTTGAGATTATCGCTGCGATTCTAGTGAAGTATACACTTCTCTGAGGCTTGCGACAACGAGCCTGTGCAATTTGCTGATTATCTGGACCTGAAGCATCAATCGGCTTACTAAATCGGTTCTTGTTGCCATCACCACCTTGAGCCGAAATTGTAGAGGACGCCAGCCCACCTCTTCCCACACATCTTCGACGGACGACCATAGAACCCCGAGAGACAGTAGAGCCTCGAGGATCCACAGAGTCTGTTCGCGAAGCATTGCTGCCCCGTTTGTCGCGCCTTTCCCGTCGGAACAATGAAGGCAATGGATTGAAAGTTTTTTTCCTGCGAGATATATCGGTCCTTGACGAAGCATCCACTAAAGATACAGAAGCATCTGAGCCTCCTGGTGCTACACCTTCATTTCCGTTCTCTTCGCTTTCTTCGAGGTCAAGAAGAGTCTCTTGGCTTTCTGCAAGAAAAACACTGCTATCCGTTGATCTATCGTCTGACGCGACATTCTCTGTTTGATCATCGTCTTTGAAGATGTCAATCGATGGTTCTTGTTCCACACCTGTTGTATTGTGAGATTGGTTTGTTTCTGTCTTATGCACTGGTATTTGATATCCAGTGAACTTGTTTGCGCCATTCGCGTCTTGGGAGAAATATTTTGTACTCCCCGCCCCCATAGCCTCATTTTTGCCTCTGTTGAAATTGTGATCTGCTATCAGTTTTGTAACCAGGATTTTCTTCCCCCGCCAAGCGACCCTGAGTTTGCTCCAAGTGATAACCCAACATGTCTGGCACATGTTCAACCCGAGAACAAATGCCGGAACAAGGACACGTACTTGCGCCGTGTTGTAGTGATCAATTGTACAATGTTTGGGGACAATGTTGGACACCGTCGTTTTCTAATCCATACGGCATAAATTGGACATTCTAAGATTGTTTGTAGCTCTTTGTTACGGCTGTGCAATTCTCCGGATGGATCTTCGCGACAATGTTTTGGTCTGGAGACTCTACGGCAGGCGGCACTCAAGTGTGTTTACATTGTAAGGTAGATTTTGCACTTCACACTTCTATTGAGTGAGTGCTTGTGGCTCAAAATATACAAGTGGAAAGTAAAGTCAAGCAGTGTCTATAGTTATCATCTGTCTCCATCTCACTGTAACAACCAAACGCCTTGTTCTAATTTTACCACAATACCACCACCATATAGAATACCATTCCAACGCAGCAGCTGCTGCCACAAGACCAAGCTGTACGACAATGACTTTTCCTCCGATTGATGATGTGAAGAATGCGTCGTTCTTCACTTATTTGCGCTGCATTTTATTCGATTTGGAAGGATCGACTTGAATTGTTCGTTCCGCTTCGGTGAGGCATCTTTCACTGAGGCACGATCCTGGAAGGCAGCAACGGCATGGGCAGCAGTAACAAACTCGACCAGTATCTAGGTCACAAGTCATGATGCCATTGCATCCCGATGAACAGCACACAAATGGGACGTGAAGGCATTTTTTGAAGTAAGGTTGATGCGCAGGGTTGGATGTAACATTAAGCCAAGGCATGGTTTCGTTCAATGTTTGTGAAAAAGAAAAAAAGAAATTTGATTTTGGTCTGGATTGAAATTAATGGGTGATATTTTTTCAAAAAAAAGGATTGACATATTTTTAACTTCTGACAGTGACGACTTCCTGTCCAGTACATGCTCGTAGATGAAAACGCCCACGTCAGGTCACTGGTAAAGTGCCCATGTCAGGTCACTTTATCCAGTACATGCTCGCTATTCTGGTACTGAGATGAAAACGCCCACGTCAGGTCACTTTTTCTGGCTGGTAGAGTGCCCACGTAAGGTCACTTTATCTGCAAACTTACGAGTGATATGGAGAAAAGGAATTGACATCGTGCCATGCATGCATATTTAACGCACGCACGCGTTTCAATGAAATTCGGGAATCTCCATTTCGTGGTCACTTCATCTCAATCCAATGGTCGTCAGCGTTCGTCTGCCAATCGAGCGGATGCAAGAGAGGACAAGTGCTTCGGTAGTTACGGAAGCAGAATTCTCTTACACCTACAGTACAGTACTGTAGCCATTGAGATCCAATGGTCGTCAGCGTTCGTCAGCCAATCGAGCGGATGCAAGAGACTGCAGTTGCCAATGGTCGTCAGCGTTTGTCTGCCAATCGAGCGGATGCAAGAACGGAGGACAAGTGCTTCGATAGGTAATTACGGAAGCAGAATTCTCGTACACCAATAATAGCCAATGAGATCCTCTGATTTGAATTCCTTCTCCAAGGAAAATACTCAGTTCGTACGGTACCAGGTACTATCCACTATCATACCGGTACCATGTGCACCAACTGCCTCTAGCGCTAATCTGGGTGGTCTTCCTTGAGGCTACAGTAAAAGGGAAAAGGAGAGGTAGAAGCAGAAGAGATTCCGTGTTCTCAATTTTAAAAAAGTTCTTTATCAGCCATCGGAAATATACTGTACTCGTACCAGGTACTGTACCGGTATACTACAGTATTAATACTGTATACATCGAAAATACGCCAAAAAGTGAGGGTCATTCAGAATTATGGGCCTCGAGTCATCATAGACATAATAATATTGGACTGCCGCAAACACAAGCGATATTGACAAAAACACCACACATTCTATAGGTAGAAAACAAACATGGGACACCCAGAAGTTCAGGTCAACGTTCATAATTTCTTTCTCATCAAGCAAATCGTGGAAGAAGATAACAGCCTAATAGCAGTTGGAACCTTCATTCAACACTGCTTTGAAGATGAAAAGACAAACGAGATGATCAGGGGCAGAATGCACGAAGAAGGCAAAGATATCGATGATTATGAAATCAAGTTCGAGTATATCGCTTCAACGATGAAACTGCTGATAACGACAGTGGGTATGTTCGGCATCGACGGACTGAAAAGTATGAAACTGACATGGGAACCCTATACCGCCACACTTATCAAGTCAAGGCACCGTTGGATGTCAATGTCGAATTGGATTACTTCCCGTTCCGTGTGGTCAGCGCCAAGTTGTTGGTCGAATTGAGTACCTTTACCACTCTTGACAACGAGACGCGGCTCCGACCAAATCTCATTCTGCACTTGTTGGATAAGACCAACATGTTTAGCATTCAAAAGGATCAAATGACCGAGACAAAAGGAAGCGATTTCGATAAAGCGAAAGACAAGATGGACAAAGCAGACAGCTATGACTTTATTTCGCCCTTTCCAAAAGTGGCCTACCTCTACGACACAAACAAGAGATATTGCCCCAAGTTTATGATTACCTTTCTAATGGTCGAAGATGGTATGAAGAAATTTGTTGAGATTGTGGCTCCCATGTTCTTGATTGCTGGCATGAATACGATTCATGTTCTGAATCCAGATGAAAAAGTGGAAGTGGCTGACTACATTGCCAACTCGGCCACCTTTGCCCTTTCTGTGCTCGTCTTCTTGCCGACCATGGTTGGAACCTCGAGAGTCCAACAAGTCTGGACCCCGAACAATCTTTACATCGTGTTGATTTTTGTTGCCCTCACATTGTCGAGTATACCCGACACTTGGGCAGGTCACAAGGGCTATGCCATTGCTGGAATGATTATCTACTGGGTTTCGTTTCTGTTCCCGATTGTCAATAGCATTCGCTACCTTCTGTTCCTTCGCAAGGCAAGACGAAAGGCAAACGCCAAACATTTTTGGCAGGGCCCCAGCAAGAACCTTTACAAGGCTTCCAAGAAAGAAATTGCTCACGAGTTTGCCAAAGTGGAAGAGATTGTCTACAAGCCAGATGATGAACGCTTGCAAATGGAATATACAGTGCGGGAAGTGCACAAGTTCCGTGTGCTCGAATTTGCTTCTGTGGGTGCCATTGCCCGTAGTAAAAAGAAAAAACCAGCAGGTGCGGCAAAACTGGAGGTTGCTGTTTGATGATGATGTATCGAAATCAACGAATGAAACCTGGAATATATTTGTATTGTTCGTATTATATATATTATAACGATATATAGTCATTTATTTATTTTCAGTCTGTCTTATATTCTGAACCGATTCCACGATTGGGTTGTGCATTTTATAAGTTACGGAACAGGATGTGACCATCCGCCTTGAAACCATCTCCTCGGTTTTCACGTGCACACCCACAAATAGATGTATCCCCACAATGACCTGGGAATGTTACCATACACACGTCCGTTTTCGAAAAATCACCTGGTTGCCTTACGTCGAGGAGATGATGGCCATGAGCTTTTTTTCATACCACGATGACAAAACTCGTCCATGATCAATATTCAGCAGAATGAACAAGGTTCTACGCAATGCAATTCAATGCTGGGCATATTCAATATCAATAGTGTATTGAATCAGCATTCGAGCGACAACTGCATTACATACGAGTACACACAGCAGTATAGTAACAACAAACAGTTCAGCAAGTCGTTGAAACTGCAAAAATTGCAACAGCCTACTACTAAAAGGTGCAATACTGACTGAATCAAATCAATCCATGGCTTCGTTGGAAGTGGCGAAAGTCACGGAACAGGATGTGACCATCCGCCTTGAACACGAACGGGACACTGAGTGCGACTACGAAGCCCTCACTGCGATTGAGGTTGACATCCTTGTTCGTGGGAAAATAGTTGGAAAGATTTCTGGTACACGAATCGAAAGATTAGCGATTCCAGATGGATGCTTTTACTCCGTGATGGATGAACACAGCAGCGACTTGCAGTATGTTGCTGTGAACCTTTTCGAGCCACGGCGTGGAAGGACAAAGCTCCATTCTCTGCGGGACGGAGGTGATCATCCCGAGCTCGCTATTCTTTACATCAGCAGGCTTGAAGTGAATGAAGAGTATACGGTGTTTGGATCATCAGATGTGGGAGCGTATGCTTTGCGAAAGTTACTGCATCATCCATACATTAGATCAAAAGGGCTGTCGCAGTTCGCTAACAAGTGGCTTACTTCCAGCTGTATTTACATCTTGGATGGTAACACACCTGCGGATAGAAGTTATGCGAATCAATTTCTCCGCAATGGTTTTCGTCAAGACAAAGTTGTATAGTAGGCCAAGGCGGCGACCGTTTCCTCGTTGCCGCACGTAGCCATTGGACGGAGCCGTTGAAATCCCATGCCGAAGCGGCAGCTATGCAAACTCCTTGTTGCCCCTCCCAAACCATTACTTCTTTGGCTTTCATTGACATACATAGTATGTCATCAACATAACAAAGGATGTATTCATAATACTCCTCCCCATCAGGTTTAACAGCAGCCCTCATCCAAACATCAGGATCGGCAGTGGACGACCAGAAGCCCAATTCCTCCAATGTCTCTGCCAGATGTGACCTGAATGCCGCTGATGATCCTTTTAGACCATATTATGCCCTTCTTACAATGCAAACTTTGCCTTCTCTGTCCCCAAACTCGGGTCCTGCTACCATGTAGCACTTTTCGATTGCTGGTACCGGTACAGTGAGGAAAGCCTTCTGTATGTCCGCACACTGCAAGTCTAATCCGTTTAGCGCTGCTATCATGAGTAGTATCCAAACTGAATCACGAGATACTACAGTGCTGTAGGTCAATGCTGCTGGTGCTTCAGTCTTGTGTCGTCAGCGCAGTACCTGGGATACCCCGCAATTTGTTGTAAAACCAGATTTTTCTCATTTTTTACTAGTCCATGTGGTCATTTTCACCCTCTTCTGCACGAAACTCCAATTTCAGGCTTTACTTAGGAAAAATCGGTGAGTGCCTTTTACGACTTCAAATGTTTAACATTCACAAAACTCGTTAAG